GCCCCCGCGATGCGCAGTCAGCGGGATTGTCTTTTTGTAGGAATTCAGTACCACAGGAAGTCGATTATGCCTCCGGGTGTCGGCCTACTACCGACGTCTTGACGAGAGGAATCGAGGAATAATTACACCCTTGATTACTGCTGATAAAATAATACTTTATTGCAGACCACGCAACAGCCACGAGAGTCAGTACAAATCTAACGATCGTCGTAACTCAGTTCTGCCAACCTCGTAACTCTCAACCCCTCTTCTAGCGCAGGAGAGGGAGCTGACCAATCGGAAGGGAGACAGATATGCTGCTTCCTACACACTCCCTCGGGGGGGCCCCCGAGTGTTAACAAAATAAATAATAAGTAATATTGCACTAAGCGAATGAGCTTATGCGTTTGCCAGGTGCTATTGTACGAGGTTAACAATACCTTAACTAAAAATATATTATACGCTTAAACGTAATTTGAGCCGACTTATAACTAATAACATTATATAGAGTAGAATTCTGTCTTACAATTAAATCACTTTGGTTTAGTGGACGGCGCAAATGTGACAGTCTTACGAGAGTAGGTCTTAAGCGCTGGGTTCGGATTTACATTCCGGTTGAGTATGTTCTCGGAGGTTGATGGGGGGTCGGCGGGGTCATCAAGGACAAAATATGCCGGTTTTAATAAATCGACGGACACGCTTTTTGTGTTTCCGTTGATATCAGTATTGAATACACGCTCCGAGATGCGTTGCACTACCTTGTGCGGACCGGAGTACGGGCGCTCTAACGCCCTTTTAGCCATATTGCGTAAAAATACATGAGTACAATTATATAAATCTTTAAAATAAAAGGCGCGTTTTTTATGTTTGTGCGCGACAGGAACCGGCCGGACTTGGCGCATATATTCGCGAAACTCTTCAAGGAAATAATTAGGGTTAGGTGTAAAATCATCGGGAAGAAAGAATTCTCCGGGAAGTCGTAAAGTCGTCCCGAACATAAATTCGGCGGGAGACGCATTTGTGTCAGCACGGACGTGCGACCGAAGTCCTAATAGAACGGTAGACAAGGTACGCGTCCAGCACGCATCGGCATGGCACATGATTGCAGCTTTAAGCACCCGGTGCCAACGTTCAATCATGCCGTTTAACGCCGGGTGGTAGGCGGTTGTACGAATTGGGACGCGGAGACTATCGGGGACATATGGCCGGATAGCTTCGCCCGAGATTTCGCAATATACAGTTATGTGATCTGGGCCCCACTGAATTTTCTTCAACTTTAAAGGATGATCGGGAGCGTTAGCAATCAATTTGAGTTGCTCGCCGTTCTTTTGCAGCTCGGCGAGCTCATTAAGATTAAATTCAACCGGCAAACGCAGGGAATCAATCCGCGAAAGCGAATCCGCGACAACATTTTGTGAACCAGTGAAATGTTCAATATGCGTTGTGAACTGCGCGATATATGACAATTGGCGTAGTTGTCGCGGGGACGCCTTGTCAGACCGTTGCATAAACGCGTATATGAGCGGTTTATGATCGATCAAAATTTTAAACTCGCGTCCTTCTACAAAATGACGAAAGTAATTAACGGCTTCAAAAATTGCCGTGAGCTCTCGGTCGTAAGCGCTATACCGAGTTTGCGCGGGGGAGAATTTATGCGAAAAAAATGCTAGGGGCTCTCAAGTATCCCGTTTTTTCTGTTCAAGAACTGCCCCCATGGCGAAATCGGAGGCATCCGCGACTATACGGAGTTCCGCGCCAATATGGGGATGCACCAGCATTGCAGCGTTAGCGAGGCCGTTTTTGGTCTTTTCAAACGCTTCGATTAATTCGTCAAACCATACGATTACACGTTTATCGTTTTTACGCGAGTCGACTAGTAATGCATTTAGTGGTGCTTGAGCTTTTGCCGCGCGAGGGATGTTGCGACGGTAAAAATTTATCATGCGAGAAAACGGCGTAGGTCGGCGATGGTTTTGGGTCTAGAAAATTTGGTAATCGCCTCAACTTTTTTTGGGATGAGGCTGATTCCTTTACCATTTATTATATACCCGAGAAACTTTAGTTCATGTGCGCCGAACACGCATTTTTCAACATTAAGGCGGAGGTGAAACCCTTTAAGCCTCTGAAATACTATGCGTAAATGTTTATCGTGCTCTTCTGGAGAAGAGGAAGCAATTAGGATATCATCCGTATAAATGAAAACAAAATCTAGATCGCCTAAGGCGCGATTTATATAACGTTGAAAGGATTGACCGGCATTACGGAGGCCAAAGGTCATAAATAAGTATTCGAATAACCCGAAAGGGGTTATGATAGCTGTTTTCTCAATGTCCTTGGGGGCCATTGGAATCTGATTATAGGCTTTATATAAGTCGAGGGATGAAAAGATTGTTTTACCGTGTAGATTAACGGAGCAGTCATGCAGGTGGGGGGTGGGTTATCTATCAGGTCGCGTGATTGCATTTACACCGCGGTAATCGCTGCACACCCGCCAGGTGCCGTCTTTTTTACGGACTAAATGAATGGGACTGGCCCATGGACTGCTAGAGGGGCGGCAAATGCCTGCTTCGACTAAAGCCTTGATCTCGGCCTTGGCGGCTTTAAGTTTATCAGGAGGAAGGCGCCTAGCGCGCGCAGCGACTGGAGGGCCGGTGGTGATAATATGATGAAATACGTCACAATTGGACGGCGGGGCGAAGGAAAGGGCTCCTGTTATTTGCGGAAATTCCTTGAGTATTTTGGAAAACTCAGAGAAAAGTTTAATCGTATTAATCGAATGTATCGGGGCCGGTTTTTTAGTCGCGAGGGTATATAATTTAGTAGTGAAATCTATAAGACGTCGTCGTTTTAAATCTACTATTAACCCGTAGTGCGATAGTAAGTCGGCGCCAATGATGGGGTACGGAACTGCGGCAATGCAAAAATTCCATCGAATTGGCCGTCTTAAACCGAGGTCAAGCTCACGAAGAGATTCCCCGAACGTGTCGATACGCGTATCATTTGCTGCGAAGAGCTTTAATTCGGAGGGCTTTCTTTTGATCCTATCGATAGCGGGTACAAGAAAGATATCCGCGCCTGTATCGACAAGGAACATTTGGCCACTGGTACGATCACGGACGTGGAGACGGTTAGAAATTTGAAGGCCCTTGCCGACCGTCTTTGAACAGAAAGGCTGTTTTAATTTTTTGGATCTTTCACGGAGCGGGAGTTGGATCGCGAACGCGAATTTATTATCTTTTCCAGCTTCTCCATTTTTTCGATGAGTTGTTGAATCTCGGTCTTTGCGGGAGGGGGTGAATTCCCCTTGTTCACGGCGGACGCGTAAGACTCGCCTCCAATAGTGCTCTCAGCCATTCGGTCGGCGGCCTCGGCTAGACGGTTGAAGTCGGTAACGCCTAAAGCTACAAGGATCGCGCGGTGTTTGGGTGGTAGATGGTCCAAAAAAATTGATTTTATTACATTATCATCTATGTTCCCGTCATTAAGACTGCGCAGTCGACTAAGGATTAACGAAGGTTTTCCGTCGGTCCCGACTTGTCCCGTTAAAAGTTTTCGCAACTTTGTTTCGACCGAAGGTGCATATGTCGCGATAATTCGAGCTTTAATCTGCTCATAAATATCCGTTGGGGAAGGGTTTAAAGTAATTATGTCCTTTACATATCCCAATACTTCGACATCGAGTGCAGCGAGTACGGTATCGGCTTTAGTGAACTCTGCAGTGATCCTAGAATTTCTCATGAAAATCTCATCCTGGATAAACCACAATGCTGGGTCAATTTGTGAAAACGGGGGAAGCTTGGGAACCCAGAGGTTATCTATACACGGAATTATAATATTATTATCAATCGCGTCCGAGGTAACTGTATCGGGGCCCTGAGCGTTTAGCTGGGCTTCCGCTGCCTCTGCGCGGGTTTGAAGAGCCGCGTCCGATATTGTTTTAAATTTACAGTAAGCTACTAGCAAAACGAGAGCAATAAATAGCATAAACAACATGAGCGTTAAATAATATAAGCGACATGGGCGTTAAATATAACACGAGCGTTAAACAATATAAACGATATAAACGACACGAATGTTAAGAAATGACGGCGCAGGCGGATTACTGTTCTTCGTTTAAATTACTGTAGTCTGGGTAGAATCCAAAGCCCCGGTGACGATGGAACCCAAGGCGCTGGAGACGTTGGCTTCACGCATTAAATGTCTCAACGACGACGGGATCTAAGGCGCCGGTGTTGTTGGCTTTCGCAATCAAATCGATGAGGCGACAGCGACGTTGTCGATCCGTGGCATTGGCGGCGAAAAACCGGTCGCACACCATCAGGAGAAGGCGGTAACGGCGGCGGCGGAGAAGGGCCGGACGCACACCAGGGGATGGTCGTGGTAACAAGACGGTAGAAACGTTGTGGCCACCCGGGCGCCGGTAGGATCTCACGTGCCCGCCTCGTGCCTCGTGCAAAAAGCGCGGCAAGAAAAATGGCCGCCCGAAAAGTGTTTCGGCGCGGCAAGGCTGGCTGGCCGCAGCGTGGGCAAATAACAGCCAGGGACGCGGGCATAGGAATGTACCTTGCGGTTGCGGGTAATTCGGTCCGCTACTTCTGCGTCCGTTCCTCGGGGAAGACTGGTCCACACGAGGATTTATCTCTGACTCGGGCTTCCGGTAGCAATTTGTGCAAGAACCGTTGCATGTTTTTCAGTCGGGGTCACCAATGTAGGAATTCAGTACCACAGGAGGTCGATTATGCCTCCGGGTGTCGGCCTACTACCGACGTCTTTACGAGAGGAATCGAGAAATAATTACACCCTCGATTACTGCTGATAAAATAATACTTTATTGCAGACCACGCAACAGCCACGAGAGTCAGTACAAATCTAACGGTCGTCGTAACTCAGTTCTGCCAACTTGTAACTCTCTACCCCTCTTCTAGCGCAGGAGAGGGAGCTGACTAATCGGAAGGGAGACAGATATGCTGCTCCCTACATTTTCCCGCCACGTGGTGCCACCGCGCGGACGGGAGAGTCGTCTAGATGCTTGTCACGCGGTTGGCCACGAACGTCTTCCACAGCGCTGGGTGCGACCTGATCCAGGCGAGGACCACTTCGGAGTCGGACCATAGATGTGCCGGAATCGTGAACTGAAAAACAGTAAGTGTGTGTTCGGTGAGTCTCGTTAAGAGATCCGCAGCGCAGAGCTCCAATCTGGCTAGGGAGATTTTCTTGAGCGGGGCGACCTTTGTTTTTGCGCACACCAGAGTAGTGACTATGCCGTTCTCTGTTTCAGCACGCAAGTAGAGTACCGCCGCATACGCCCGCTTGGAGGCGTCCGCGAAACCGTGTAGTTCTAGCAGACTCCCGGGCGGTCCATGTTTCATCCAACGCGGAATGCGCACGTTCTCCAGGACCGGTAGCTCCTTATGGAAGTCTCTCCAGCGATCGGCATCCTCGGCAAGCATTGGAGTGTCCCAGTCGAGTCCCTGCATCCATGCAGTCTGGATGAATAGCTTAGCCCGAATCACCACCGGAGCGAGCCAGCCCAGTGGGTCGAACAACTGTACCGTAAGTGACAGCACTGTTCGTTTGGTGACTTGCGTCATTTCCTTCGCCTTGATGGAGAATGAGAAGTCATCTCTACTAGGATTCCAGAGGACTCCAAGCAAGGATTGGGAATCCTGGACGTGCCAAGGGCGTTGGGCATCCTGGAGTCGATCTTCGGGTTGAATGCCTTTTAACAGAGCCGCGTCATTCGCAGCCCATTTCTTCAGCGGGAAGCCGCCCGCCTTGCAAATGCTAATTAGCTCGTCTCGTTTCTTGAGCGCCTTAGTGAGCGTGGAGGCCCCCGAGGTGACGTCGTCGACGAACGTGTCGTCTTCGAGAGTCTCTGCGCCTATCAGGTACCGAGCTCTTTCATCCTTGGCCAGTTGCTTCAGCGTACGGATGGCGAGGAATGGAGCACACGCCAAGCCGTAAGTGACCGTGAGTAGTATGAATTCGACAATGGTCATCTGCGGATCGTATCGCCACACAATCCGTTGCAGATCACAGTCCGGATGCACCACGATCTGTCGGTACATTTTGACGATGTCGGTGACAAAAACGTAGAGATGCCACCGCCAACGGAGGAGGATGTCAGCTAGCGCCGGCAGGAGATTGAGTCCCACCAGCAGATGATCGTTTAACGACTCTCCCGAAGGCAATGAAGAGGAGCCGTTGAAGACAACCCGAAGTTTGGTGGTGGTGCTCGCTGCCTTGAGGACGCCATGATGTGGAACGTAGCATACCCTACGAGGAGCATCCTGGTGGTTCGCAACGGATGTCATGTGCTGTAGTGATTCGTATTCCCGTATGAATTGCACGTATTGCTGTTGCAGGTCGACATCACGCTGGAATCGTGCCTCCATCCGGAACAGTGAGCGTACGGCATTGTGACGCGTCCCCGAGAGGTCTGGCAGGGAACTTCTCAGAGGCAACCGCATGGTGTATCTGCCGTCGGAGGAACGAGAGTGAGCGTTAAGGAACAAGTCCTCGCAGGCCTGTTCATCTGGAGTGAGGGGGGCCGCGGCTCGCGGCAGCTCCTCCTGCTCCCAGAAGAGCCTCACCATTTTAGTTAGTTTATCGTTGGATGCGCAGTGGTGAACGGTAGCTCGTACCGTCTGGGCAGCGGTATCCGCGATGCCGGAAATAAGCCAACCCAATGAGGTTTCCTGCGCCACAGGTTCTCGAGGGCCGCCCCTACGGACGCCCTCCTGCAGTATATTCGAGAAGACTTCCGCACCGAGCAGCAGCTCAATGGGCTCGTTGGAAGTGTATTCCGAATCCGCTAAAGTCAAGCCCGTCAGATGGGCCCACGTTTTCGCCCCGACCTCCGTCGCTCCTGCATACGCGGTTAACCGAGGCAGGATCAGTGCGTGAATGGAAATCCTGCTGCTCCCAGTTGCCGGTAAAATCTCGATGTTCAAGGCCCCACGCGCCACGCCCGTCTGCTCCCCGCCGATGCCAAAAACTCTGACTTTTGTAGCCACGCGTTGTAATCGAAGGCGCTGTGCGAGCGACTCGGATGCGAACGATGCCTCGGAGCCCTGATCTACCAACGCGCGTACGGTATGAAACGCACCGAACCGGTCGGCTATTCGAACTTGTGCTGTCGCGAGAATAATGGTCTATCCTGCGGTTGATATAGGTTGAGAGGTGTGTGACGTCATCGCGGGCGACGTGTCCTTGACAACTCGATACGCATCGTGCAAGGACGAGTGGTGTTTCTCCCCGCAAACCGAGGAGGTACGCTTTGAAGGGCAATCGGTCACGCGGTGTTTTCCGAGACAGTTTATACACAAGTTGTTGGCTTCGATAACTTGCCTTCGCTTGCTTGCAGATTTCGCTTTGTACGTCGCGCACACCATGATAAAGTGATTCTCGTTACAGGAGGGACAGGAGCCTTTTGATTTGTCTTTATTGCCCCTGGACGGCTTCCAAGGTGTGCAGACGGCGTTCGAGAAATTGCTTGAGCGACTTGTAATTCGGCGGAGCCGTGGTATCGCTCAGAGAGTTCTCCCATTTGCACCGCGACCAGGCATCTAGCATTCCTGTCGCGAGGAACACAAACAAATCTTCGGAGCTTGTGATAGGTCTACCGATCCCCTCGAGCGCTCCGACTGGTCACTCGGTGGTATAATTTTCGTAGTTCGGAAGCAGACTCACCCTTCATTTTCTGGAACGACGTAAATGTGGAGTAGACTGACCTTGCAGCCGCGCGCATCACCGGAGAGGACCAGGGAAAATAAGGCGGCAAAGGCGAGCGGTGCCCGAGCAATAGGGCGTAAGAAAGCGACACGGCGTTCCAAGGACAGGAGACGCATCCGGGCGATCGCCCGTCATTTTGTTTCAGCTTTCAATTTTCGTCCACAGCGAACGATACAGATACTCGTTTATGCCGGCGATCCCACCCGATGCGAGAGTAGAGTTAAGAGTACAACACCGCGCCATGATTTTCATTAGTTAGCGGCTCAAGTATCATATCACCGAACACGGAGGACAGGGGGAGCTCCCACGTAAGCAGCCAGGATGCCTTTCCCTAACACGGCGGACGAGCCGAGACTGTCCGCAGGACGGGCAAACGACGTTCGACAAAATGGCGGACCACGTTTGCGAGATAAATATTGACGAGCCTCGGCGACTCACCGAGGCCCGAGAAGTAGGCGACGCGTAGCAGCGTGGCGAAAAGTTGGCGCGTTAAGAAAATGGCGGACCGTCCGCGAAATAGGAAGCGGCGCGATAAACGTGGAAATGGCCGACCCCTGACCACAGGGGAAGACCCGCGAAACGTGCTTCGCACATAGAAACCCGGATCTGACGACGCGTACAAAAAATGGCGGACCGTCCGAAAATTTTGCAACCGAGGGATTTGCGGAGATATAATACGTCCCTGACGTAGGCGCGGGAATCCTAGATGACCCATACGGGGTTGGCGACGCGATGCGAGAGCGTAGCCGCGAAATAGCGAACCGTCCGCTACTTTGCACCAGGTGCATCGTCTACGGGAATTAAGTACCCCTGACACCGAGGGGCACTCCGCCGAGTGTCCGAAACCGAGTCCCGAGGAAATCCGTCAACCGGGGAACGAAATAGCGGACCGTCCTGAATTTCGCACTAGGTGCGCCATCCTCAGGGAAACAACACCCCTGACGAACGGGGACGTCCCAAGAAACATCCGTATCCGGTCGCCATCGAAATCCGACGACCGGGAGCCAAGTTACGGAACCGTCTGCTATCTCGCGACCTAGACCTCTTCTACGGGGAAGGACCGCGGAAACCGCGTTACCAGGTCCCAAATAAAGGTCAGGAGGGGTCGACGTCGTCGGCGAGCCTGGTGTTTTGCACCCGGACGTCTTCCTCGAGGAAGTCGTCCGGAAGGACAATGTACGCGCGGAAATAGGCGAGGCGCACAGGTCGGCGTCAACGGCCGGGATAGATTAGCAGCGGTGGAAAACCACTACCTCTGCATTGGGACGGAGCGACCGCGCGAGCGCAACGCCCATGGAAATTTCCAGGGGAATCGGCGTAAACACCTGCGTGGAAAATTACCGCGGTAATATACGCAGTTCGCGAAAAGAGAAAGTGGAATAAGCGCCGAAGTGGGGGCCGCCGATACCGATGGTGGGGAGCTCAAGCGAGACAAACAACTCGAGGCAGTCTCTCGGGGATGTTCGTACGAGCAACACGTAATAAGCCACGCTCTTTCGTCATCGCGCTAAGTCACCGCGAGCGTTACACGAGTGCATTAATAATACATCGACAACATCCGTAACAACCGGGAACGCCCGCGGAACGCGTTAATTATCGCCTTTACATTGGCGAACGGCAATTTCGGGCCGAAATAACTTCGTGCGTCGTAGATAAACGGGGCGTGTGTGCCTACGTATACGAGCGTCCGACATTTTGTGTGACTTGAACTTTTGTGAACAACCATCACTGGAAATCAATAATATTGAATAAATTAAACATCCTTTTCGTAAAAGATTTCGAAAATTATTCAATTGGACTTACCTTCTACTTACCTGATCCATTGGCGTCGATCACTCAAAGTCTCTCGTTAATCCTGGATGACGGTGGCAGCGGCGATCCTGATCGGCGACGGCGATGATCCAGCGGTGGCGGGAACCTGAAAAAAGAAGATTAATTAGTCTAATTAATAGTTCCAGATATCGTTCGTACTTACCTTCTCGGTGGTTCAAAGGTCAAACCGAGTGGCGACCGTTGATTCCAAGGACACACAGCGTTGATTCGT